AAAAAAAAAAAAAAAAAAAGCAACCTTTAATGGTCTGTGGGTAAAGCAGCCCCCATTCTCCACACTTCTTCTGAAAGCTGGAGCAGTGCTGCGATCGGCAGCCTCCATTATGGAGCAGTGGGTTTGGTTTTGCATGGCTTTTGCTAGACAGGGTATCTTCTCATTCCCGGCCCCCTCGGGTGGGACAGAGGTTGCGCTCCTGTCCTCCGGCCCCCCCTTCCCCCTAAGATGGTCCCCGCATCTTTGGTCGCCATCATTGCTGGCACAGCAGTGTGATATCAACTCTTATCGTGTGTTTATATAATGGCCTTTGTGCCTGTACGTGGGTATTTTATATTATATAAAAAGGACTGGTGCAGAATGGTGTATGTGGGGAAGCAGTGCCAGTGGCTGGATAGTATTATTTTTTTTGAGGCTATGTAGTATTGGATATTCACRTATGCAAATGCTCATGCAGAGCACACTCTTGCTCTGAGGTTGTATGTGTGTTAATCCCTTATGGAAAACTAAATGGTTTAACTAAATGGTTGCCCTGCAGCCCCTGGGAATGCTGCCTTGGTTGTAGAGTGCAGGAAGGGTGGCAGGGCTGGGGGGTTAAGCCTTTTGGGGGAGGGTTTAAATTTTACATGTATAAATAATACATTCAGGTGATATAAATTTCACATATAAGAATATATATTTTATGTGTACAATTTTCTTTCTTCTTGTAACCGTAGACCTGAAGATCAGATGATAAGGGCGGAAGCTGTAGATGGTGTTGGGGATGTGTGTGAAGTAGAAGCAAATGGGATGGGTGTTTGARCTCCTGGAGCTGTTGCTGAGGGGCTGGGATGTGTGTGTCCTGTCCTCTTACCATGAATCCAGGTTATTGCTCTCTGGCTATACTCTGCCCACGTTTTCTACACACAGTTGTGTGTATGTATGTGTTGGGGGGGAGATAAGGCAAAATGACAGCTGTGCGAGACCATGACTTTTTTTCACTCCATTATCCTGCTTCCCTCTTCCACTCCCGAGCCCCAGAGCAT